ATCAGTATTAAAAGGATCTTTTGGACACCATGTCTTCTCAGACAAGGGAAACAATAGAAAGAATAAACAAATGGGACTTCATCAGACTAAAGAGCTTCTTCAAGGCAAAGGAAAACAGGATTGAAACAAAAAAACAACCCACTAACTGGGAAAAAATATTCGCAAGTCATACATCTGACAAAGGGTTAATATCCATAATTATAAAGAACTCACACAAGTCAACAACAAAAAGTCAAACAACCCAATCAAAAAATGGGCAGGAGACATGAACAGACATTTCTCCAAAGAAGATATACAGATGGCCAATAGGCACATGAAAAGATGTTCATCATCGCTAATCATCAGGGAAATGCAAATCAAAACTACACTAAGATATCACCTTACACCCATTAGAATGCCAAAAATAACCAAAACAAAAAGTAACAAATGTTGGAGAGGTTGTGGAGAAAAAGGAACCCTCGTACACTGCTGGTGGGAATGCAGACTGGTGCAGCCACTATGGAAAACAGTATGGAGATTTCTCAAAAAATTAAAAATAGAAATACCATATGACCCAGCCATCCCACTTCTGGGTATCTATCCAAAGAGCTTGAAGTCAGCAATTCCAAAAGTCCCATGCACCTCTATGTTCATTGTAGCATTATTTACAATAGCCAAGATGTGGAAGCAACCTAAGTGCCCATCAACTGAAGACTGGATAAAGAAGATATGGTGTATATATATATACAATGGAATACTACTCAGCCATAAAAAAGAATAAAATCGTCCTATTCACAACAACATGGATGGACTTTGAGGGAATTATGTTAAGTGAAATAAGCCAGACAGAGAAAGACAATCTCTGTATGACTCCACTCATATGAGGAATTTAAACATGTAGACAAAGAGAACAGATTAGTGGCTACCAGGGGAAAAGGGGTGGGGTGGGGTGTGGGCACAAAGGGTGAAGGGGTGCACCTACAATATGACTGACAAACAATAATGTACAACTGAAATTTCACTAGATTGTAAACTATCATAAACTCAATAAAAATTAACTTAAAAAAGAAAAATCACTAGCCATTAGGGAAATACAAATCAAAACCACAATGAGATGCAACTTCACACCCAGTAGGATGGCTATCAAAAAGACAGATAATGACAAGAAGTGGCAAGAAATTGGAACCTTCATACATTGTTGGTAGGAATGTAAAATAGTACAGCTACTTTGGAAAATAGTTTGGCAGTTCCTTGAAATGTTAACCACAGAGTCACCTCATGAGCCAGAAAGTCTACATCTAGATATATGCCCAAGAAAAATGAAAACATTTATCCACACAAAAACTGGTACCTGAATACTCATAGCAGCATTATTCATAATAGCCCAAAAGTAGAAAGAACCCAAATGTCTATCAACCATATATCAGCTGGTAGGAGAATGAGAAAGAGGAAGAAAAAAAGATGCTTAATATATTAAAATACCTATCAAAGCAATGAGGGAAAATACATATGGCTATTATAAACTTCATTTCTGTGACTGGTCACATAGCTGCACTTGGGATTTATCATTTTCTTATTCCACAAGCCACCCCATGTTTCTTTTGTCCTCAACTCGCATCTCTATTGATTATGGTTCTATCCCCATGCTTTCAGGGGTCTGCACTATTAGTGATACTGATGGTGGACTACTGTAGTTTTTCATTATCTTCTGTCAGTGGACACAAGAGTACCAAAAAGACCAGAGAATTCCCTGGGCTCCTGACATTCTCTCACATGTAGTACAACCCTATTTCCTCTTGATAATAAGGATCAGACAGAATCATTCACTCTCCAGGACTTATTTATCTACTAGTCCAAGTTTGTACCTTTAGACAACATCTCATCAATTCCCCCACCGCCCAGCCCCTGGTAACCACCATTCTACTCTCTGTTTTCACAAGTTCAGCTTTTTTAGATTCTATATATCAGAGAGATCATACGGTATTTATCTTTCTCTGTCTGACTTATTTCACTTAGCATAATACCCTCAAGGTCCATCCTTGGTTGCAGCAAATGATAGGATTTCCTTCTTTCTCATGGCTTAATAATATTCCATTGTGTGTGTGTATGTGTATGTATGTGTGTATATTTATATATGTGTGTGTGTATATATACATCACATTTTCGTTATCCATTCATCTGTTGACAGACACTTAGGTTATTTCCATGTCGTACTATTGTGAATAATACTGCAATAAACATGGGAGTGCACATATCTCTTCAAACTCCTGTTTTCATTTCCTTTGGATATATACCCACAAGTGGAATTGATGGATCATATAGTAGTTCTATTTTTAATTTTTTGAGGAACCGCCATACTGTTTTCCACAATGGCTGAACTAATTTACATTCCCACCAGCAGTGGGCAGGTTTCCATTATCTTCACATCCTCTTCAACATTTGTATCTTGTCCTCTTGATGACAGCCATTCTAACAAGCGAGAGATCATATTTCATTGTGATTTTGATTTATGTTTCCCTGATGATTAGTGATGTTGAGCATATTTTCATGTATCTGTTGGCCATTTGGATGTCTTCTTTGGAAAAACATCTATTTAGTTCCTCAGCCCATTTTTTTTATTGGATTTTTTTTTGTTACTGAGTTGTTTATGTATTTTGGATATTAATCCCTTATCCAATATGTGCTTTGCAAATATTTCCTCTTATTCTGAAGGTTGCCTTTTCATTTTATTGACTGTTTCTTTTGCAGTGGCAGAAGCTTTTTAGTTTGATGTAGTCCCACTTGTTTATTTTTGCTTTTGTTGCTTGTGCTTGTGGTGCCATGGTCATTTCTTTTCTATTAGTTCCCCAATGCAATTAGAATAAGGCAGCACATCCCATAGTCCTTGTAGTCTTTGTTTCCACATTAATTTTCCATTTCAGCAGCTACTGGGTCTCCCAAAGCCTAGTGTCTACAGATACTTGATTCCCTAACACTGTATATAAGGACTTCCAACACTGCTAGTAAGAACTCAGGAGGAAGTAAGGAGCATGGGAGAGAAAACACATATCGCCGCAGGGAATACTTAAGTCATCGTGAAAGGGCTGGTGGTAGAAAACTGCTGTTAAGGGCACTGCCAGTGAAGGCTCAGAAAGAAATGATGAACATATTATTGCAAACTAGAAGAATGGGCATCACTGTTACCTGGCAGCAGAAAGCTTAGCTGAACTGTGTGCTGTAATTACGTGGAGCACAAAACATAAATGATGAACTTAGATATTTGGCTGAGGCGATTTCTAAGCAAAATGTTTAAGATATAGCCTGGTTTCTTACTGTTTGTAGTAAAATGCAAGAGCAAAATGATAGATTGAGGGAGAACTGTTAAACAAAAAGGCACCAGAACTTCATAACTTGGGATATTCTCAACCTGTCCAGACTGCAAAAGATGCTAGAAGTAGGAGATTCACTGTCAGGGAGATGTACTCAGAAAAGAAAGCTGAGGTTGTACCTGGACCACTTTTTGCTAATTTCTTGGAAGGATGAAAAGGTCAGGGTCAGAGAGACTTGAAGATGCTATGTTTCTGTCTTTGAAGAAGGGGTCATAAGCCATGGAATGCAGGTGGCTTCTACAATCTGGAGGAAGCAAGAAAACGGATTCTCCAAACGACTCTAGGAAGAAAACAATCCTGCTGACGCCTTGATTTTAGCCGAGATGGACCTATTTTAAACTTCTGACCTCCAGAACAGTAAGATAATAAATTTGTATTGTTTTAAGCCACTAAGTCTGTGGCAGTTTGTTACAGCAGCAAAAGGAAACTAATGCAGATTTTGGTACCTGTAAGTGGGTTATTGCCATGACCAATACCTAAAAATGTGGAAGCAGCTTTGGAATTGGGCAACAGGCAGAGGCTGGAAGAATTTTGAAGAACATGACAGAAATCAATAAAAGATTTTAATCAACATATTCAAGAAGTTCACTGAACCCCAAGCAAGATGAATACAAAGGAAAATCACCTGAGTACATCATAGTCAAAATGCTAAAAAAAAAACAGCAAGGAGAAAAGGGACATATTACTTTTAAGGAGAAATAAGACTTATGGCCAATTTGTCAACAGAAACTATAGAAGTCAGAAGATGATGTAATGATATCTTCAAATGTGCTAAAATATGAAAATATTCTTCTAAGACAAAATAAATACATCTACAAACCAAAAACCTGAAGATAATGATCTCTGATGGAAGCAAGAACTACTGGAAAGAATCAACAGCACCAGGAAAGAGTAAATATGGATGGCAAACAAAAATGAACCAGTGACATAAGGCAAATCCATCAAACAAATAATGGCAGTACTTTAGACTCAAGTACCAAAGAAAGCAAAGCAGTGGCTAAGTCGATGACATTTACACTGATTAGTATGGTAATATTTCTCAGGCATTTGTAACTAAGCAAATTCTGTCCTGATGTTTATGTGTGTGTGTATCTTATTAGAATATTTCTCCTTTCTTTTATAAGCTAGAATAGGAGAACTATGAATATTATAATTCATTATATTTGTATAAATAATTCTATTTATGATGAGAGAATTAACATTTTTGGAGGCAAAATTTGAATGTTACAAGTTTTCAAATATCATTTAAATACCTACGTGAGGCTTTTAAACATGTCCCATTTCATTGGGAATATTATGTATTTTTAATCTATGATACACCTAAAACAAAAAACCAAGAATTGAAAGAAAAAAGCAAAGAAATGATCACCATAACCCACAGGATAGTGGCTGCCTCAGTGGGGAAAGCAGCAGGATGAGACACAGAAAAGAAACATGGCAGATCCAGCAGCATTGGATACTAACCTAGCTCTTAAAATGGGTAGTAGGTTTCCTAATGTGTATGTCATTATTGTTCATCAAAATTTACATAATCCTTTATATGTACCAAAGCTACTTAATGAAAAATTTAAGAGAATGGGGGTAATAAAATAAGAGCTTGATTTATTAATACTAATCAAGTAATTAAAAAGAAAGATTTGTAGAAGGAAGTACCTGTTTCATTTCCTGTTGCAGGATCATTGTGGGTCTGCTGTAAGCCAGGAATTGGTCGTGTTGTCAGATACCAAACTGCATGTAAGACATCTGTGGCATGTATACGATTGTGATCTAAAGTCACCAAAATGTTTTATAAAAATGATCATTCTGTTATTTTTAACATACGATGTTTATAAAAGTACAATAATTTTCTAGTCATACTATATCCTCATAAATAAAATGTATGGCTTAGAATAACTTCCTACAATTGTATTTTTGTTTCATCTTACTTTTTAAAGTCTCTTAAGGTGTTAAAGAGTTATCTTTTAAAACTTTCACATATACCATGAAAACATAGTAAAGGGTCAAAGAAAAGGCAGGGTAACCAGGGCTAATTGAAAGGCACTGGAAAATTTACTTAAGGTTGCTGTTTTGCGGCTTTTAAAAACATGAAAATAACATCTGGATTATGCAGACCCGTGTTTGCACACAAAACAGGTTTTGCACACAGGCACATAGAACAGTTACAGATTCTGGATACTTGAACTCCACCCCTTCCCCCCCAAAAAAGATGAGAAATACCTCTCTCTCATGCCCTGCTATAAGGATTAAATGTTAAATAGCATATGAAAACATCTAGAACAGTGTCTGACACATAGAATGTGATCAATACAACACGGGTTTATTGAAATACCACTATGTGAAAAGGTAAGACCTACAAGTGAAACCCAGCTTTGCTATTTCTAGTTTTATGATCTTGGGAAAGATACTTCTGTGTTTTTACTTCTCACCTATAAAAGGTAGATAATACAAGCTTTCCAACAAAGATTAAATGAGATAAGCTTTTTGAATCTAATGAGTATAGTCATAGCTGAAATTCAATAAAAGTTCAACACTTCAGCAAATATTTAATGAGTACCTACCATGTAGCACTAGCAGATGATACAATTCTAAGTGTCCAGGCTGTAGATATGACATGGTGTCATCTACTAGGAGCTTAGTTATTATTAATACAGTCATCACCTTTTCTGGACCGTTTACTATGTGCTATGACTTCTGATACATGCTTTGCATGGCTTATCTTACATGATAACTACCTATGCAGTAGGGACCATTGTTATTCCTATTTACAAATTTGGAAACTAAAGTTTAGAAAAGTTATATCCAGAGATTCTTTTTTAACCAATATATCCTAATTGGAGCTGACAGTGAAGACTCTTTACTACCTATTTCTTTCCATTCCCCTTCCGTTGAAGTCCATCTTAACATATCACTTAATTCCACATATAAAATCCAGCCACATTTTAAAATGCATACTTTTTAAGTGGTAATTATAGTACACATAACACATTATAACACATTAAATTATTAAGCACCATCATTATTAATGAGTTATGCCATTTTAGGAATAATTTGCTATTTATATAATTGATTTCCCAAAAGTATGTCCCACATGGAGGGAAACTGTAGAATTTATCGACATATAAAGAAAATTCTATCTTTTCCTAATACAAAATTCAAATTATATTTTACCATAAAATCAAATGGCCATTAAAAATTATTCCATAAATCAGGACACAGTTAAAAACAAAAATTCTATGGATAAATTTTAAATATTTTAAAGCCAAGAATTTTCTGAAACTCTTCACCTACTTAATATTACCAAACATTTTAAAAGGTAAGGTACTCAGATGAATAATTTAACATAGAAAGATATATACTATAATAATTAAGTGAAAAAGCAGATTATATATAGGTATCAATATAATAATTCACTTTATAAAAAATGAATATATATAAGAAAAAAGTCTTGAAGCATAAATACCAAAATGCTAACAGTAGTCAGTTAACTGTACGTAGTGGGATACACATTTTCTTTTTAAATCCCTATTTTAAAACACTTCCAAACATGTTATTTAAAACATGCTTAAGAGACTATCTGAAGGGAAAAACAAAGACTTTCAAAACCAGTTATTAGTTGAACCTAAGTAAGATATGTTAATACTTACAAGGAATGTCTCGATAGCCATTTTCTAATGCACGAAAATAGTTCATGAACTGTAGAGTGGGAATTTTAAATATCTCCAATAAACCAGTGTCTTGAAATAAGGCATACATAACCTAAATGTCAATTAAAATAAAGTGCACTTTAAAAAATCAGAATTTCTATTTGTAGTTGAGTATAATATGTTTTTGTGATTTGCATTTAGGAATGTTAACCATGTTTATGTCTTTAAATTAATAATTAAAAACTTCCCCACAATGAATTCTTTCCAAAACGTGAAAAAGGAAGAATCACCCTAAAGCCCTTGAAAACCATATCATATCTCAGGTTTAAGACTTTTCCATTCTTCCCTTCAGCTTTATTCATAATTTATTGAAGGGAACATGAATTTTATTCTATTCTAGTCCTGGGTGTTAAAAGAAGTCAGAACAATATGTTTATCACATTTTTGTCCCTAAAGACTTCAATGAGATGAACTTATATGCCCTCCACATAATTTATCCTTATGTTCTTGTTTTTCATAAATAAGATACTTTGGAGCTCATGAGAGTGATATTTTGGGAAGTTAATCTGATGCTGTTGTGTGGACCCATCAGGGAGAACCTGGAGTCTGAGTGGTAAAAAGGAAGGTATTTTTCCATAGTTCTGGCATGAAATGAACCACTTGCCCTTGGGTGAAGTACCGGGAGGGCAGGTGAAAAAAATGCAGCGTAAGTTTCAATGGTTAGAACTAGATCACCTTTCATGTCCTTTTCAACCTCAAGATTCAATAAAAAGCAAATCTTTATCACTTCTTTAGTCTAAATTAATTTATCCCATTAACATGGGCACATAAACTACTTTTCATTTATATATATAAAATTATATGAAATATAGATATAATAATATAATTGTTTACATATATATGGGTTTATATACATACGTTTCTATTTTCAAATTTTCTACTGATTATTTCATTTGTGAAAAAAATAATTCAATGAACAATGTTGAACTTGTACCTAAACCAATACTATACATTTTTAGATTCAGCTTTTTAGAAAGATTCAAGAAAAAATTAATTTATAATAAAGAAGTAGAGATTTGAAACAAACCTGACTGAGGATCCTTCCTGATTTCTCTCCCATCTTTTCTACAAGCTCAAAAATTTGAAAATTCCAGTTGCTCATCTTTTCTATTAATGAATCATAATCTTCCATTAAAATCAGGTCTAGTGATGCTTCCTGTTCAATCTGTACACACAGGAGGGAAAAACCAAACCAACTTAACCTTACCTTTTATAAATATTGTCAAATCCACATCTAAATGAGAATACTTAAAGCTGAATATTAGAAAATGGTCAGTATTATTTTCTTTAATGGTTATTCTCAAATATAATCTGTACTTCCTATTTTCTTTGTAGAAGGCTATCTTGAGACAAATATAAACATGTCTTTTAGGTATCAGAAGACTTATTAATCTTCACATTACTTTAATAAATAAAAAAATATTTCCAAAACATTATACAAATCTAAAATCCATTCTTTTTGTTTTAGAAGTTACAGGTATCAAATAATAATAGAAAGAAACTCATATCCTTATATGGGCATTCATTACTAGGATAACTTCTCAAAAGAAATGGATGGGCTTTTTCCCCTAAAAAGCTTAAATTTTGAACCTTAAAAACAGTAAAAAAAAATTGCTACTGTAAGTAGATTATTTTCATTGTTTTTTAATGACTACATGTTCTTCATACTTTAACGTACACAATGAAGAAAATATCAGCATAGAAAGTAATATATCTACTATAAAACTAAACAATATGTGTTCATTTAAAAATGAATGCACTTTGTTTTTCTAGGATGATGAGTTTAGAAGTAATTATTATTTTTAAGCCAAGTTTTTCTTTAATGCGTTATAGTGACTTTCAGTAAAAAAAATTAAAATATATTAAAGACCTTGTTCTGGACAAAAACAATGAAACTAGTACTAACATTATATTTCACCTTAATATAATCATATTGAAAATTTATCTTTTACATTTGGCTGCTGCTCATTCTGTGCCTCTTCTGTTAGGTGATGGTCACCTTCCAAAAATAATTTTCTAGAGTCTCTGTTCTCTGTTTCCACTTCGTGTTGAGCTTCTGTAATGCTGAATGATTCTTTTGAGAAAATGGTGTTGTCTTCATCACCTTTCAAAAAATATATATGTTAACAAACAGATAAGAATAAAATTTGCCCTAAATGGACAGTTTTCTAAGAAAAATTATTTGTAAAACATATTCAGATAAAGTGAACCACACTGGCATTCAGTCTAAATTAATGACACCATTAGGTCATATCTTGCTGGACTATTTGGCCCAGGTATTTTGTGTTCTAGCAACATTTCACCTGATTTATCTACTCATGGATGAAAGATACAGGTGGAAATTCTTTATAAAAGTGAGAAACAGAAAAAAACAGCCCCTATCAATAGGAACTTTTTACCAATTTAATGTAAACAATTTCCAACATTTGAAATCGCTGGAGTTTTAGACACAAAAACTCTAAACTCATAATTATGAATGAGATTAAGGCACATCCAAAAGTTAAAACATAGTATAAAGAATTGTGAGTTATTTCTCTGCCAATGTGATTAATAATATTCTTTTTCCCAAATCACATGGAAAAGGGAAGCAGCACTGGTAGCTAAATAGCATTCATTCACATGTAAAAAAAATCATGTTCATTCTATTTGTAATATCCTAAACAGGAAACTTTCCCAAAACGCATCACCAGTAGAACAAATAAACTGTAGTAGCCCACACAGTTGAACACTGAGGAGCCAAGAGGATGAACTACAATCACAGGCAACAATAGGGATGATTCTTAAATATATAATGTTGAGTGAAGGAAGCCAGGCACAAAGGCACACATTCTGTGACTCTCTTTATGAAAAGTTCAGGAACATATCAAAGCTGATACATATGAGTACTGAGAGACAGGATGAAATGAAATTTAGAATATTCAACTATTCTTGATAAGGCACTAATTATAATAATATTCTAAAATAGCCATCAATCTAAAAATTGTTGACATTTGAGGTACATTACATGATTTACTTTTTAATGATCTAAATTCCTAATAACTATATCTTACAGATAATAATAAAAGACAGTTGAAATAAATGTAGCAAGTTCTTTTCCAAAGAAGTCCACAACACTATCTCTTATCCCACATGCACTCTTTTAAAATGTATTCTTGTCACTCCTCCATCAACAGAGAGTATTTATTTCCCAGCACCCTGGAATCTGGACAGGCTGCATGACTGCTCTGATTAACAGAATATGGCAGACGTGACACTTTGTTCTGGGTTGAGCCATTAACTGGACTGGCAGCTTCCAATTCCTCCTGTCTTGCTATCCAGTCAACATGTTGGAAGAAGCTCATAGAGGGGTCATATTTAGATGGACTGGTCAATAGCCAACAAATACATGAGTAATCCATCTTGGAAATTCAGCCCAATCAACTCTTCAAATGACTGTCGCCCTTGTCAATATCTGACTGCAATCACATGAGAGCCCTCAAGTGAGAATCTCCCAGTTGATACCAGTCAATCCAAAAAAATGTGAGGGGGCGGGCCTGGTGGTGCAGTGGTTAAGTGCGCATGTTCCGCTTCTCGGCAGCCCAGCGTTTGCCAGTTCGGATCCCGGGTGCAGACATGGCACCACTTGGCACACCATGCTGTGGTAGGCGTCCCACATATAAAGTAGAGGAAGATGGGCATGGATGTTAGCTCAGGGCTAATCTTCCTCAAAAAAAACAACTGTGAGAATCAATAACTGTTTTTTAAAAGCTTTATTGAGTATAATTACATACCATAAAATCCATCCATTTTAAGTATATAATTCAACAATTTTAGTAAATTTACAGTTGTACAACCATTATGACAATCCAGTTTTAGAACATTCTCATCACCTCAAAATATACCCTCATGCCTATTTACAGTTAATCCTTATTTTTACCCCATCACTGTTCTAATTATTGTCTCTATAAATTAGCCTTTTCTAGAATTTCATACAAATGGAATCATACAATACATAGTTTTTTGAGCCTGACTTCTTCTACTTAATATTTTGAAGTTTATCCATGTAGTAGCATGTATCAGAAGTCCGTTCCTTTAATTGCTAAATAGAATTCCGCTGTATGGATACACCACATGATATTTATCAGTTTGCAAGTCAATGGACATTTGGATCATCTCCAGTTTTGCACTATCATGAATAATGATATCATAAGTATTCACAATCCTGTCTTTGAGTGCTCATATGTTTTCTCCTGGGAAAATTCTTAGCCATGGCATAATTGAGTGATATGGTAAATTTATGTGTAACTTTTTAAGAAACTGTGAAAACTTTGCCAAACTGGCTATACCACTTTACATTCCCATCAGCAATGCACGAAGGTTTCAATTTCTCTACATCCTTAACATTTGGTATTGTCTGTCTTTTTGTTTATAGTTACCCTAGTTTGAGTGTAGTGGTATCTCATGGCAATATTAATTGGCACTTCCCTAATGACTGATGATGTTCATCATCTTTTCACGTGTTTATTACCTATTTGTTTATATCCTTCACCAAATGACTTTCACCAAAATATCTAAAATCTTTCACCCATTTTTTAATTGAATTGTTTGACTTCTTAATATTGAGTTGTAAAAGTTCTTTATGTATCATGGATATAAGACCTTTATCAGATGTAGAATTTGCAAATATTTTCTCCCGATCTGTGGTTTGTCTTTTCATTTTCATATTGGTGTCTTTTGGAGTGCAAAAATTTTAAATTTTGCTGAAGCCCAATTTGTCATTCTTTTGTTTCATGGATCGTTCTTTGGTATTATATCTAAGAATGCTTTACTCAACCCACAGTCACAAAGATTCTGTCAAATGTTTTCTTCTAGAAGTTTCACTGTTTTAACTCTTGCACTTAGGTGTATGATCTGTTTTGAGTTACTTTTTGTGTATATGGTGAGGTAAGCATCCAAATTCTTTTTTTGGCAAGTGTATATCCAATTGTCCTGGCAACATTTGTTGAAAAAACTTTCTCTTTTGAATCATCGGGCTTCTACGTCAAAAATCAATTGACCATAAATGCATGAATTTATTTTTGGACTCATAGTTCTGCCCCATTGATCTACAGGCTCATCTTTGTGCCAATACCACACTGTCTTAATTACAGTGGATTTATAATAAGTTTTGAAATCAGACAGTATTAGTTCTACAAATTTGTTCTTTTTCCAAATTGTTTTGGCTATTGTAGGTCATTTGTATTTCCACGTACATTTTAAGACCAGCTTGTCAATTTCTACCAAAAAAAAGCCTGCTGGAATTTGCTAAGTGTTGCCTTGAATTTACAGATCAATTTGGGAGAATAGCTCTGTTGACCACACTGAGTTTTTCCAATCTATTACTATGAAATGCCTCTTTATTTAGATTTTCTCCACAATGTTTGTTTTCAGTTTATAAGTCTCCCACTTCTTTTGTTAAATTTATTCTACTTTATTCTTTTGACATTGTTGTGAATGGAAATGCTTTCTTAATTTCAATTTACCATGGTTCATTGCTAGTATATAAAAATATAATTGATTTTGTACATTGGTCTTGTATCTTGTGACTTTGCTGAACTTGTTTATTGGTCCTAATAATTGTGTGTGTGTGTGTGTGTGTGTGTGTGATTTCTTTGGGATTTTATACATAAAGGATCATATGATCTGTGAATAGGAACAGTTTTATTTCTTTATTTCCATTCAGAATAACTTTATTTCCTTTTCTTTCTAATTTTCCTGGCTAGAACCTCCAGGACAATGTTGAATAGAAGTGCTGAAAGCAAAACTCCTTATCTTATTCTTGATCTTAGGGGGGAAGCATCAGTCTTTCTCCATTAAGGATGATGTTAACTGTGTGTTTTTCAGATGCCCTTTGCTAGGCTGAGGAACTTTGCTGCTATTACTAGTTTGAGTGTTTTTATCATGAAAGAGTGTTGGATTTCATCAAATGTTTTTTCTGCATCTATTTAGATTAACATGGATTTTTTTCACCTTTATTCTATTAATATGGTATACTACATTGATTGATTTTCAAATGTTAAACTACCCTTGCATTCCTGGGATAAATACCACTTGGTTATGGTGTGACCATTTTATACGTTGCTGGATTCAGTTTGCTAGTATTTTGTTAAGGATTTTGTGTCTGTACACATACGGGATATTGGTCTACAGTTTTCTTGTGATGCCTTTGTCTGGTTATGGTATCAGGGTAACACTGGTCTCAGAGAATGAGTTGGGTTCCCTCCTCTTCTATTTTTTGGAAGAGTTTGTGAAGGATTGGTCATCTTTGTTTTCTTTTGTTTTAACAATGCTTTAAAATATAAAAACCAAACACTACTGAATTGTACACTTTCAAAGGTTGAATTTTATGGTATGTGAAGGGATTGATATGAGCCTACAACCCCTGAAAGGGCCTATTTCTGGTTTACCTTTATTCCTAGGGTGTAGCGCTGTAGAATTTACCAAGTTATCTCTATCATGGCAGGCCTTCAACTCCAATCTCTGTCTCCCTAGTCCCATGAAGCTACCCACAGGACTGCTGTTTCTATCAGTCACTGGCCCCTCTGGAAGCAGCAAACATTCTTCGACAGCCTTAAACTCCAGCCTCACTTTCTTGGACTTCTATGCTCCTCCAGATCTTGTACTGGTAATTCTGAGGAGTTCTTGTTGATTCTCCAGTGGCTTCAAGGAGATGTTTTTTGTTGTTAATAATTTGTCCAGCTTTTCTAGCTACCTTCAGAGGGAACGATCTGAGTTACCTAGTTAACTATTAATGGATGCTTGAATCATCAATTTTTTTAAGTTATAAAACAATTATAAATTTATCACCAACAATATATTTTGTTTGAGGATATAAAATGTTTCAGAATGATATAATTAAATTTTAAAACAACTCTCTATGCCATAAAAAAAAAACATATGCAAACCTTTTTGGGCTTAGATTGTGCAGTATAAATTTCAACATTAATATAATTAATTTCACTATTTATGAACCCTACTTATAAGCTAAGAAGACTGCATTCATTTATATAGTACACTTTTACTCTTCAAAATACTTTCACTATCTATTCTTTATCATTTGTTCCAAATAGTCCTCGGTGAAGTAGACAAAAACATTATAATTTTCACTTCAAAGATGGATAAACTGAAGTTAAACTAATTTACTGATTTTAAGAAACAATGTAAGAAATTGCTTTTAAATTCAAACACACATGACTTTTGCAGTCTCACCTGATTTTCCACTGTGGCAGTCTGTACCAGACTCTGATTCAGATGTTGAAACATAGTTCAGTATTTGATGTCCACAGCTTATAAAATAAAAGAGATAAATATAAATATATATTTATGACAAATGAGGCAAAATGTTTTTACCTAAATACACTTAGAAAATCTGCTTAATTTTTAACCAAGATACCAACTACAAAACATCCTAATATTCCAATCTCTCTATAAACTTTATAGGCTTTATACTAGGAAGCATCTGTCTGTCCCTGAAGGAAATAATGTATTTTGAAAGTCAACATTGAGTTCTGAGGTAAACACCTATTACCATTGAAGCAGAAATGAGAATAAACAGCATGTGAACTAGGTACTATAAATATGCCCTAAGGTATTATATACTAAAATAATTCTCATACATTTACTGATATCTTATGATGGATAGAATAACACTATATTTCACTTCAGATGGAGATCATTTAATTGGAAAATGAATAATGGCACTGAAATGAGAAAAGGTTTATTCAGAATAAAAACTACTAGATAAAGAAGAGGACAGAGTCTTAATCCATCACCTAGTTATAATATAGAACTAGAAAACTGGTAATACTTTATTAAAATAACCTATATTTTGAAATAGAAACGAACATTTGGGAAACTTACCTGTTACATAAATTGCTATCAGAATTTCTAAGCTGCTGATAAAAATCTGGTGAATTGGGTGCATTGCCCAGAGATCTGTGTAAAACAACACTTGGCTTAGTAAGAAAATCAGCAGTATCAGGAAATTCTATAGGTGATCGACTAGTTAGAGAGCCAGCTGACACTGATCCATGACTGAGAGAATTGACAGGACTTAGGCTGGGTAAGGCACCTTTAAAAATTAAAAGAGAGGAAAGAGATAAATAAATATGTATGTATCTGCATGTGTTTATTGTCTATGTTTGTGTATTTATAAAGAACATTTTCCTTCCTTAAAGAAAGCAAAGTGTTTACAATTAAATGATAAAGTAAATTTCTAGGTGGAGCTATCTTCAAGACATTCTAGGAATTTAAGCAGAATATAGACCATGTTTGTCATCATCATTGACTGTGGACTAAACACCCTGTGGCAGGACGCACAGACTTGCTAAATATTAAGAGTATAACTAAAATTTACATCCTGTGTGGCACAGATTTTCCTAATTCATATTGGTCTGTATCTTTCACATTTTGTGTCCCTACCAGCTCAATTATCCACATGAACAAAACATCTTTACCAAGTTTTACTGAATATTTTTCAACACGATAAAATTCATTTTTATTGAAGAACCCAAGTTCTTAATAGCATTAAGCAAGTTGAGCATATGATAAAATTATATGGTAACAGAACAGAAAATCCCATAAAAAATATATCCAAATCTTTCCAGCTCATTCATTTGACAATTCCTTCATTCATTTCCAGCCTGGCAGCCTGCCTGAAAATTTCAGACCCACGCCCTCACAATCTCAAGAGCCAATTCCTTAAAACAAATCCATTCTCCTCCCCCTATATATATGTATGTATATATTTATATATACACACACAAATGTTTTATTAGTTCTGTTTTCCTGGAGAACACTTACTAATACAATGCGTAATTTTATTTAATCTTCACAGTAACCCTGTGAGTTAAGTAGCATTTTCATTTTACCTTGAAGAAAAAAAACTACCGCCCCCCCCCCCCAAAAAAAATCAGGAAACTCGATTTAGTCAACACTATGAGACCATACTCTTTCCAAGGCTGCCACTGCTGTTCTGATTGATTTGTTTAGAGGCTCCTATAATTTCATATAATGTTAGGGCTGAATGGGATTTTACAAATAATTTGGTCAAACAGTTTACTGTTTCAGAAGAGGAAGCTGAGAACTAGAGAGGGGAAGCATCTTGCTTGTCAAAGTCATAATGTTTAGTTACTAACTGGAGACTAAAATTTCAACTTTCAGTGCTCTTTTCTCTAATTATACCAGTGAGTGTCCAAAATCCTGAAAAAGAGGCTGAGAAGAATAAATGGTAAATAACCTCAGGATAGAAATTTGATATAACATAGAAAAATATCAAAGAGAGAAGAAAATGACAGAGAAAAACCTAGCAACCTTTAAGAAATACTTTCTACAATATAGATTCATCATTTTTCTCTTAAACCTTTTTTACTGTGAAATATAATGCACATACAGACAAGTTACATCAGGAAGGCTCATCACTCAAGCAGAGACATAAAACATAACCAGAGATCAGAGACCCCTGTCCTCTAACATCCCTCCCTCTCATTAAAGGAAAGCATTATTTTGACTTTTATGGTATTGTTTTTCTTGCCTTTCTTTATACAACATATGTATGCATCTCTTAACAATTTAGTTTTGCCCTTTTTCAAACTTTGTAAATTGAATCAGACATATATATAGATGCTTCTATGCCTTGCTTACTTTACTCGACATTTTAAAAAGATATTTCCATGTGTTGCATGTGACTGTAGTTCAATTGACCCTGTAAGGGTTTACTCCTGGTCACTCAATTCTGTTCCATTGAGTTGGCATATCCTTATGCCAGTACCCCATTAGCTTGATTACTATAGCCTCATAGTAAGTTTTAAGATGTGGAAGTGTGAGTCCTCCAATTTTTTCTTCTTTTTTATTAAAGATTGTTTTCAATATTCTGGGTCCCTTGAATTTCCATATGAATTTTAAGATCAGTTTATCAGTTTCTGCAAAGAAGCCAGCTCAGATTTTGATAAGGATTGAACTCACTCGAGAATAATTTAGGGAGTATTGCCATCTTAACAATATTAAGTCTTCTGATACATGAACATGGGATATTTTTGCATTTATTTAGGTCTTCTTTAATTTCTTTCAATAATGTTTTCTAATTTTCAGTGTACAGGTCTTGCACTATTTTGTTAAATTTATTCCAAAGTATTTTATTCACTTTGATGCTAACTGTAAATGGAATTATATCCTTAATTTCAGTATTGCATTGTTCTTTGCTGGTATATAGAAACAGAATTGATTTTTGCATATAGATCTTGTGTCCTGCCACACTGACGAACTTGTTTATTGGTTTAATAGATTTTAATGAATTTCTTAGGATTTTGTAAGTACATGATCAGGTCATCTGTAAATATAGTTTTACTTCTTTCTTTTATTCCTTTTTACCTAACTACCCCAACTAGAACCTCCGATACTCAGTATAAGTGGCAATTATTTTATAATTATTAAAATAACTTTATAACTTTATTTTATAATTTCCAGTTCTTTGTTTATATTCTCTCTTTGGTAAGACATTGTTGTCATACTTTTCTTAAATACTTTAGATATGGTTTCCTCCAGCTCTTTAAACACATTTATCATGGCAGATTTAAAGTCATAGCTAAGTCCAAAATCCACACCCCCTCTGGGAAGTTTTCTGTTGGCTGCTTTTCTTTGTGTACGTGGCAAAAATTTCTTGTTTCTTTGCATGAGTCATAATTTTTTATTTACAACTGGACATTTTAGATAATATATTGTAACAATTCTGGTATTAGAGCCCTCCTACCCCCAAGGTTTGTTATGTTAACTGGTTTTGTGTTTGTTTTCTTGCTTCTGCTTATTTTTGAGTGACTTTCCTGGACTCATTATGCAGATCCTGTTTTCTCTGAGCTGTGTAGCCATTAAGTTCTCTACTAGTTTTTTGTTGGTTTTTTTTAAAGTTTTTGATTTATTTTTTAAGCTTCACTTCCCAGATGTCACCCCTGGGTCAGTATAATTTAAGGGTCAACCAATGATGAGTCAGAAGAGTTCTTTAATTCTCTTGCCTATATGTCATCTGTAGACCAGAATCTGTTTGAAAAGATAGGCCTTCAAACTTCAGGCAGTTTATAACACAGCCTTGGCTTTCACTTCCTGCCTGTGCAGGGCCTCAAGGTCAGCTACAGGTCAGTGACCGGAGCCTTCTCCTTTCCCAGATCTTTCCTAGGCATGTGCACAGCCTTGCACATGTGTCCAGCCTAGCAGATCCCCAGGAATATGTCAGAGCTTTCCAAGTTCCCTATGGTCATCAAGTGTCTGGGATTTCCTTTTAAATCCCCAGTCAGCTGCTGTTTGTCCCAAGTGAAATCACAGCCTTAGACAGTCACATCGTTGCCTGGCATAGAGTTTGGCTTTTTGGTTTGTGTTTTTGGAGAGCTGAGCTCTAAGTCAAATCAAACAGCCACAATACCCTGGGAATAGAGATTCCAGGGAACTGTAAGTTTGGACAAAATGTTTACTGTACTCTCAGGATGCTGCTTTTAATGGAGTTCCAAAAGAGGTCAGTGCTCTCTGAGGTTCAGCAAAGTTACTGGCTTTTAGCTACAATACCACTGAGCTGGGGAGAGAGGGCATGGGAATAGCCCCCAATTAAAATGTCACAAAACCCACTGTCTTACCAAAGTTCAGTAGTTTCTCTTATATAGATGCCTTCTAGTTTGTTCTCTGGTTTTTTGTTTTATATTTTTGTTGTTTTAGTAGGAGAGTGAGTTTACTGAGATCCTCTCTCTGCCACTCCAGAAGTCAATCTCTATATATGATTTTAATCCTTTGAAACTCATTGAGACTCGTTTTATAGTCCAGCAAATGGTCTATTGTGATCAATTTTGTATGTGTTCTTGGAAAAAATATGCATCCTGTAATGGCTGAGTGTAGTGTTTTATAGTCAATTAGGTCAAGTCAGTTAAATCATGTTGTTCTAATCTTCCGTATATCTATACTAATATTTTGGTCTGCTTATTCTGCTAGTTAATGAGAATAGTGAGTTAAAATCTCCAAATATAAATATGGATTTGCCTATTTCTCCCTTTAGTTCTATCAATTTTGGGCTCATGTATTTTATAAGTGTGAGATCAAACCTATCTGGGTCCTTAGAGTATGCCTCGTGTAAAGAGCGTATACTTGAGTGCTGTTAATTGTCTGGCAATCTTTGCCTTTTAATTGGAGTGTATTTTCAATTTTTTTGTTGAATACTGGACATTTTAGATAATATACTGTAATAATTCTGGTCAGATCCCTGCCGTCTGTGCCGCAATCCCCCGCCCCCAACAGCTGCAAGGGGTATATTTAATGTAATATAGTGTGTTTAATCCACCATCTTATTTGCCATTTCTTTTTTAGTTGTTCCTTCTGTTTTTGTTTCTTATTTTCTCTTTTCTTGGATTCTTTTGGATTGTTCAAGTTTGTCTTTCTTTCTTTTTTTTTTTTAAACTATTTTTTTTTTTTTAAAGATTTTATTTTTTCCTTTTTCTCCCCAAAGCCCCCCGGTACATAGTTGTGTATTCTTCATTGTGGGTCCTTCTAGTTGTGGCATGTGGGACGCTGCCTCAGCGTGGTTTGATGAGCAGTGCCATGTCCGCGCCCAGGATTCGAACTAACGAAACACTGGGCCGCCTGCAGCGGAGCGCACGAACTTAACCACTCTGCCACGGGGCCAGCCCCTTGTCTTTCTTTTTAATCATGCCATTTTACCTCCTATATTGGCTTTTTACTTATACTTTTTTCTTTCACTCTTTTAATTATCACTCTGGATATTACAATATGCATTTTTGAAGTATTAGTTTCTCTTAATTTAGAACTTTTTACTACTTTTCAATCATTGCTAGTACAAGTTTAAATCCATTTACCCCTTTCCCACCCCTTATGCCACTGTTACCATATATTTGACTTTTTCATATATTATGCATGCTACAAGGATGTTTTTACTGTTGTTTCTAATCATCAATATTTTCTTAAATTCACCCACATATTTAGCCTTACTAGTGCTTTTCATTCGTTCCTGCAGTTCCATGCTTCCATCTGGATCATTTTCCTCCTAGCTAAAGAAGTCCCTGCTGAATCTTAGTAGTGCAT